TTTTTTCTCCATGTTGTTAGAATGAAACGATCAGATGAACATGTTCATAAAAAAGTTTGACAAAAATAAAATCGTATTGCCATGGCAAATGGTAAATGAATAGTTACTTTTTCTGCATTCGTATTTCATTGGCATGATACTTTATTTTTCAGGAAAGAAAATATTCCCTTTACATCGAAAACACTCCCTTATGTACCCTTTTATCAGTTACAAAATTAGGTATGAGTTTCGATTTCGTCATAGTAATCTTATCAAATTACAAAAATATTGCTACATTAATGTAGTGGAAAGCTTCTTAAAAATATATTGCTGTCCTCAACCCATATATATTTTTCTCAGTCTATTTCAAAGTCTTCTTATCGTTATATTACATGTAAGCAATATACAATATGCATATTTTCCCCTATGTTGAATTATATTAATTATATTATTACCGAAATCTTATTATGCAATTTATTTAACGAAACAAATAATGTGTCATTCTATATTATATAATTTCGTATACGTATAATCATTACGTTATCATAGGGTAAAGTCGCTTTATTATGGGATAGGCTCTTAATATAAGATAGTGGGGTTTCTACTAAACTAATAAGCATGTTATAAGCATATGTTTGTTCTATCATGAACTTTTTACTTTTAATGTGAAACCTGTTCAGTAGAAAAGTTATTGTTAGATCATGCGTGTAGTCGTTGCAAAAAAAGATTTGTGAAATTGAAATGTTGTCAAATTTTATTGTAGAGAGAAAGAGAGAGAGAGAGAGAGAGAGAGAGAGAGAGAGAGAGAGAGAGAGAGAGAGAGAGAGCGAAGTATAGATTTATATTATGTTTTGTTTTTACTATTTGTAATATTATATTTTAACATTGATAATGATCCGATCGCAATCAAAACGTCTATTTGTTTATTGCAAGCATATTGTATTAAATCAACTAAAGAATTATTTCTTTTACTTATGTTCAAACTTCTATATTAATGACGTTTAATTTTATAAAATTATTTTTGGCTGGTAGTTCTCTTTCTTTATTGTTATTTAAATTCTTTATTCCTTGTATGTAATATAATAAAAGGGTGTATAAAAAGCTTATCTTTATTTTTTTCTTAGTTTCCTATTATAAGATACCACTTCATACAAGAAAACTCTTGTATCTCATATTAGGAACCGTTTTTTTAAATAATCAAAATCAGTATTTTTGATAAAAAAATTTCATATACAACAAAGTGTAATTATTATCGACTGTTAACTTTTGGCGATAAAATTTAAATATATTTCCCATAAATTTGACATAAAGGTAGAAATTCAAGTTACAAATTAAATAAATTAAATAAATTACAAGCCTTTAAAAAAGATATCTTAGAATAGGATAATAACTATACTCTATACTTATTAAATAAAATTTAATATATTTTTCCGATTGAAAAAATTTTATAAACAATACAAATTTTATATTTATATTGAACGATTTTATATTTGTATATCCACTCATATCTTTGTTAAAATTTTGTGTTAAATGTTTAATATATTTGAGTTAATTTAACAATGATTGTTATTTAGATATTTTGAATGAAATTAATATTCAATATTTCTTAGTGTCAAAATAATATAATTTACGAGTGAACAAATAACAAAATAATACCTTCATAGTTCAAATATATTAAAAATCTGCGCTCCATTTACCACACCGTTACTCTCATTTGCCATATTATTGTTATTATATTAAATAACATAAAGAATATTTTAAAATATAAATTCTGCAGTAGAATTTCGACACTACCTTATTTCGCATCGAACTTAATTTTTCTCATTTTAATTATTAACATAATTTGGCAGAGAATCATCATCATTTCTTTTATTTCAATATGATTTTATTCATTAACAACGCCTGCCTGTAGCTGTATTGCAATTATTAATTTTAAGATTCAAATATTTTATGATTATATTTTACGATTATAATCGTTGGTTATATCATTGTGGGATTCCTAGTTCACTATCATCCAGCCTTTCAACTGGAGAACTGGAGAATCCCTGTATAATGGAGGAAATGGTTACCGCCTCACAATGATTTCGACCGGACAACAATTTACTGTAATTATTTCTTTTTCTTTTGATTTGGGCTGCAACTAATGGATAACATCCTATTGTAATAAGTATGTTTGGCTGAAGAAAGCTAAAAGTTTACACCGAAACATGTACAATTCTTTTGAGATAAAGTTTTTTCAAAGCAAATTGCGTTTACAGTGCTAATTGCCAATTATTTGTCATTTGTTTGTAAATTCTATGATAAATTTAACACATTGTGAATGTTAATTTTTTTATTAAAAATTATGAATTTTTACTTTTTTAATTATTTAAACAAATTATGTTTTTATCAGTTTTAATAAAATGCGATAATTAGTTTCCGAGAAATAAAAGGGTATTCTTAATATATATATATATA